CAAAAGCAGATAATATCTCCGAAATATCCTTGCGCATAACACGAGTTAATGACATTTTCTCGTTTTTCCATATAAACGGCCCTCCCCGAGTCCCTAGCGAGTGGTTCCCTAGGTTTATATCCAACCTCGACCTTGTACATATTCCTTCAACGCGCGCACCTTCACCACTTTCTTCTTCTTTTCCTTCAACCTTGTCTATTATCTCGACGATGCAGTCCTTCCGCACGCGCATGAACAGCGTCCTCAAGCGACGAAGTAGCGTATCTAGCCAGAACGAGCGCGACTCTGGTAGCGAACGCGAATCGTCTCGCCCTCCCTCTCCATCTCATCGTGCTTCTTCCCTCCGTAAAGTCTCGGGAGACAAGGAAGGCAAGAAGAGAAAGCGCCTCTCTTTCTCTGCTGTCTCCGGAAGAGCCAGGAGCGACACCGCAGACACTACAGACCACAGCCAGATCGCTCGAGAGGTCGTTGCTGTTTATGGCAGTGAAGATAAACCCACTGTCGACACGACAACACCCCCGCTCGACTCCAGCATAGAATATACGAAAATCGATAACGTGGTTGACGCCCCGGCTGCCGAGGATTCCACCAAGGATTCCACCTCTACTGAGCCAACCGCGGTCGAGGAGGCTCCAGTGGCCACCAAAGAGGATAAGGATGTCTCTTATGATGCCCATGTCGAAGAGGAGAAGTATACCCCTGATGTGATCCAAATCACTCCAGAGATAGAGGTCCATCCTCCGGTCACCTATCACCTGGAAGAGCCTGCTCCAAGAATGCCCGAGCCCGTACCTTATCAACACCCCTCACAAGATGTTGATGTCGATCAGACCAAGTTGAACACAAGGTTCGTCTTATCCCTTTCTGCTCTCGTTCGAGTGATTGACGATATTCTTTAGGGACTATGAAGTAGTCATGGACACCTCTCCATCTCAATCTATGGTGAACATTACCGTGGAGAAAGCAGCACCATCGTAAGTTACACTACCTCCGTCTTGTAATACCTCTTACTGATTGATTTGCCAGATTCCCGGAACCCGTAACATATGATACTTCTTTCAACTCGACGAGTAGCGCACCCGAGCCTAGCAGTGCTCCAGCTACCCACACACGCTACTCCGGACAGCCACTGAGTGCGATCGACGAATTACGAGCAAAGACGCACCCACTGGAGGAGTGGAAACAACAACCCCAACCCCAACCCCCTAAAGAGGATGTTAACTACGACGCAGACGAGTACGTCCGGGTTATGACCCTATTCTTCCTTCTCCCTGCTGTCCTCTTCCTCGGTATACCCTACCTATTCCCCCACCATGTTCTCGAGCTGGCCTCGATGTAGTCTAGAATAACTAGCCTATTGCTGTATCTTTCTGTGTCTTTGGGGTTTCTTTTCTATGTTATGCTTTTTATGCCACGAATGCTGAGACCCCCTTTCCCCCCTCTTTGTTCTAGGGAGGAAGCTAAGCCACTATTGGATAGTTCCATTCTCACGGAAAACCCCATCCATTCTACTCAGTAAGAATCGCCAGCCTCATTTAAGGATTGAATAAGAACCTAATGCTCTTTGTTAGTCACCCACTCAATGACTCTATCCTGAGCCTCCGTACCGATTTGAAGGGCAAGAACCGCGACCCACCACAAATCTACGAGACCCTTGGATGGACTCAATACGTTCTCCCGGACTCGTCCATCTACTTTGTGTTGCATGTCTCTTCCCCGGCCTCTCCACAACACTTGAAGATGCCGACACCCATCACCGCATCGCCTACTGTCACTGTCGTCGCAGATTTCGATCTCCGGGATCCGGCTATCCTGAAGAAAGTGTGCGAGGAGATGCGCACCTTGATCAAGATGGAACTCCCGTCAGCCCACAACTCCTTTGCCTACGCTCCAGATCATGATGGATGGGAACTCTGGCTTCACCGTCCCATCGACTATGATCCCTCCAAATTGGACGAGAAGCGCCCAGCTATTATCCATACATGGGTCAACCACTCGCAGCGAACATTGTCTCCTCGTCCTCTAGACACTGTGGATTTGCCTCCAAGCGAGGATGGAGATGCGGTCACCTTGGTCGATGGCCATTTCGAAGAGAGAAACTACGAGAAGCTGGCTAAGGAATTGGTTTATTGGGCGTTTGTCGAGAAACACCCAGCTCATGGGCGACTACCGCTTAAAGCGAAGAAAGATGCAGTGGAAAGTCTGACTTGGTCATATGCTGGTAAGACTGAAACTTTGGTTTCATGATTCGACTCGTCTAATTAACTATGTATAGACCGCCTCCTCCAGAGTGAGCAAGGTATTGGTCCATGCTTCACTCAAGACGAGTGTCAATCATTGCTCCGGATACTGGAGAGCTATAGCTGTAAGATTGAATCCCCTTGTTTCTACATATTCTAACCAAAGCTGTAGCCCTGTCAGTGGAGAACGATCGCATTATTATGAATCGCCTAATCGCGAGTATTCTTACTCGCATCGGTAAGTAGTCTCCCTTTTCGAGGCTCCCATTGGATTAACGCATATAACAGTCAAGCATCGTCTTGCCTCTCTTGAGGTGGACAGGGCCGCAAAATCGCAATCGAGGGATGGCGGGAAAGACACAAAAGGTCGAGCTTCTACAGTTCCCTTCCCCTTCAGACGGGCTGTCTTTGGCTTCTTCAGCGCCGTCGTATGCTGGGGTATACCTTACCTGTTTCTTGACAATGTCCCAACAGGCACCGATCCATTATCTCGATTCCGACCTCTTGAAAGTCAGCGACGTGATGGCAATCAGCTGGAACTATACTACTCTTCAGAAGATGCAGGTGCTCATGCTGAGAGGAAGACGAGCGCCATGCTGTACGGTGCTGGTGTAGGGCTTACAGTACGTATCTCTGCTCTTTGTTTGGTCGCGATTATTTAGACATTAATAGGCTGCGATTGTCATCGGTTCTGCAACGACCGTCCTCACCCTTCGACCTCCTCTTGGAACACCGGCCAGGACAGCCGGTTTTGTAGCTCTTCTTTGCGCAGGAGCATCCCTGGCGGCAAGCTTGATTTCCTTGGCTCGACTGAGCCGTGTCTCACACCGTTCCATCCCATATTCAACCTATTCCCCCTCGTCAGACCTTTTCTTCCCGGGCATTCAGCGGGACACCGAATCACTCATAGTACTCAATGTTCGTGCCTCTTTCTCTCCTTCCTCCCCGCCCCCTGAGACGACCCCTTTGTACGTGCTTTTCTCACTTACTGACGATCAACATATCTCTTACCTTTATCTAACAGGCTCAACCGATTCGCCGTGCCGTTCCCTTGGTTTTACTAGCGTATTCTATCGTGTCTTTATTCGTCTGTGTATTGCTTCACAACTTCGCACCACAAGGTTTCTAAACAATATACCATCAATATAGATTGTAAAGGGCAGCACGTAGATAGCAGCTGACCCTCCCGTTATCTTGTTTCACTATTCTGCTGGATTATATGTTGTTCTTCTATTGTGTTTCACGGTTTTTTTTACGGACACTGTAGCGCATACCCCTCATCATTATGCATATGGACTATGGTTTATGCCCAATTATGATGTTCATATTGAACGCAAATAATACAAGCGCTAGCATCGATTTAATGATAACATGAGTGAATAAATAGGCAGGATAGCTAGTCCTCGGAATCTTTATAATTGTACATTGGGTCTTCAGCTCCTGCCAGGCGGTTCCTTCGATAGGCCTCTGTAGAACATGTCAACATCGGTTGAAGTCATAAATTCAAAGCTTACCAAGATCCTCTTCAGTAACGTCCACATCCATTTTACCATTGTCGTATTTCCGTCTCTTGTCATCCCTAAAAGTTTCATCGTCATTTCGACCCTTTCTCTTCCTTTCCTCGCGGATGGCATCAGCTAATTTCTCTTTATCGAGCTGCATATCCTTCTCTCCCAGTCGTTTGACTGTATTACTCTGCGTAAGGACAGCCTCTTCCTTCTTTTGACTGTCAAGTTTTGCCTTTTCCATCTTGAGCATCATAGTATGGGAGGCAGCTTGTACAGCCTCGATCCCTGCTTGACCCGTACAGTAAGAGGCGTATATAACTGAATGGCAACAGGCAAAGCCCCATTTTCGGCTTTCTGCGTCGTACCAAGAACCCCATATTTGAGTGTGATTGTTGGGGTAGACTAAGGAAACCATATGAATGACATGTCGAATATAGGACGTAGGAATATACTCACAATCTTCTTGATATTTGCTCCTCGCTTTGACACGCTCTTTCCCTTTGACAACTTGACCAGTACGCGAATATTCGACATACGACTCAGTTTGGCCCATGAGTAGCTCCTTGGGGGCCTTTTTGAGGTAATCTTCACCCCCATATTTATCCAAGATAGAGGCTTGGTTGGTCTGTTTATTTTGCTCTTTGTTTTGTTTATATTCCTGATGGTAGATCTCTCCAGCGGTAGGATTTGCATGTAAGTCCACATCGTTACCCTTCTCCGAGGCTTGCCACGCAAATACTTGGAGTTGCTGGGCAGCGAGAGCATCACCGGTATGCCGTAGGAAGTTTTCACCCGCGAATTTTGCCTGATATGATAGTAAGTATGATGGATGGATCAGTTGTGAATGATTGCCTTACATCTTCAGGGCGGACACTCTTGTCCGGAGCATCTCTCATCGACCTAGTCTTGGGATCATAGTAGGCGCTCTCTGGGTCCAAATTGATGAGGTATTTGGCAGTATCCTCACGAATACGGAGGTTTCGAACTGTGATACGGGTTTTTGTGTCCAGCTTTTGACCTACTGCGTCAGCAGCATCTGCATATTTCTCTTCATCTGCATCGTCTTCATCGCTGGAGCCAAAGTCGGGATCCTTCTCTCCTCCACTAGCTTTTGCAAGCTTCTTGACCGCCGCGAGATCAGTTGTCGTTTGATTGTCAATCTCTTCTTCTCTGAGCTTTTGTCGAGCAGCTTCGATAGCAGCATATTCCTCGAGAACCTTTTTGTGCTCATTCGGGTCATAGCCATTCCATCGGTCTCTCTTCGCATCGTAGCCTCCCTCAAACTCTTGGATGATTTCATCAGGTGCAATGTCTTTACCCGTGTATTTGGCACCCTTCTTTCTCGGTCGTTCCATACACTCGGCACGTTTATGGGTCATGGCTCCGCAATTTTCGCAAGCACCTTTACGGTACTTGGTGGCAGCCGGTCCAGCTCGTTGTCCTCTAGCATACCATTGATTTATATCATCCTTTTCGACCTTCTCCTCGGCAGGGCGACGCTGATGTGCTAGCGAAGGCGTTCCAGTGGACAAATACCATGGTGCTTGTGAGATATACTCTGTAATGCAGTTTGTTAGCTGACGAAAGCTTTTCTTACAGAAGCTACGAACGAGGAATATGAGGATTGATAGCGCGTCCTTCTGCATCTAACTCTGCAGGTGCCGTTCCTGCCTTACGTGCTGCATCCAAATCCTTCTGGCGACGAAACTCTTCCCTCGAAAGTTTGCCAACAGCTAAATGAAGAGTAAGTAACTCAAAACTGCAATTGCGTGGTCGAATTAGCCAACCTGACGATGAGGCCATAGGTGGAAGGGTCCAAGTTGTATTGACAAATTCTGTAACTTGGACCGCACTGCGATAGACTGTTGACTAAGTCGGACGGAGGTCAATGGAAAACGCGTGCCATCTTAGTGTAATCATTGATTTTTCACCTTCACAATGGCTTCAGTCGTCCTTAGAGGGTCAACAACAACCACCATTTAACCTTGCGAGCTTTCTGCCTCTACTATTCGTTTTTCTCAACGCCCACTTGGCTTCACAACACGAGAATACATTAACAGTATTCGGTGCATTCCCTGGCAAAAGGTTTTGACCTTTCATTACGGGCTGCTCTTGGATGACACAAGGGCTGATCTCCATTGGCTTTGGTAGTTCTATACTATTCTCTTCAAATGAAGCCCACGATCAAGCAGAACCGGATTCGAGCACGTTTCAACCCTTCAAAACTATGAACAGCGTCTTAGTTCAGAGGCTGTCAGAGGCGTTGGATTCGATACCCGAAGATTCAAACGGTATCTTTCACTCGATTACTTTCAGATGCATGAATCATTGCTAAATCTCTTTCAAGATGCTCCTATAGCACTTGTCGGAGCGCTGACAAAGGCCTTATGTTGTAAGCCACATTTTCATGGAGGATTTTCGTCGCGAGTCCTTGGTCTGAAATGTAGTATAGACATCAACCGACTAATTCATCCATCAACTGCAAATTCGACTGTATCTATAGCTCAACCGAATGCGATAACGCCTCGAATACTCATAATTTCGGTATCCCCGGATTTATCTGCATCCTATATTCCCATCATGAACTCTATTTTTTGTGCTCAAAAGCTAGTAAGTCAAACTTTTTATCCGTTCTCTCCCTCTTTTATTCATATATCTGGCAGAAAGTCGTTCTCGATGTCTGCAAAATATATGGACCCGACACTGTATTTTTACAGCAGGCCGCACACCTCACCGGTGGTTCCTATATAAATGTTCGACAACGTGACGCATTACTTCAGTATCTAATGGTTGGGTCTCTGCGTCTGATGCCAGGCCAGTTGCTGATCACCCACATTATAGACAAGTTTTCTCTCCCCTTCAGACGGGCTGTCTTTGGCTTCTTCAGCGCCGTCGTATGCTGGGGTATACCTTACCTGTTTCTTGACAAT